AGTGTGAGCGCAGAACATCACGTTTGTGCCCTCCCCGAGCCAATTGCTCTTGCATGCGGGCTTTCTTCTCAAGGATCATCTGCCTACTTCTCTCCACATCGACTCCGAAGGCCTTCAAGAATTGAATAGCTTCCATTGCTGAGCCACGTCCTGCAAGAAACTTCTCTTCATCACATGTGGTACCGCTGCTTTGGTGCTTGCTCTTCATGTGAATGTCATCTCAGGATCAATCGGAATGCTCTTCAGAGTGCGCACACAAAACCAGCAGGGCAAGTCTGCGATTCGTGAGTCACAGAATCCATGGAATGTGTAACAAGATGGCGAAATTGTGAATACCGACCACAGATTTGCAGGAACATCAAGCCATAGAAGCCGGTGATGAGTGTAGCAAGGTCATCACTGAACGCACAGAAGAGATCACATCCACTAAGACATCCAAGGCGGCTTTGCTTAAGGCACCAACACCAGCAGGGTGCAGGAACAGCAAACAGAGGTCAATTGAGGTGGATTTGGTATTTATGAGATAAATCGCCAACAATCGGTGAATTGGTGAGCAGCTTGTCAAAAATATAGCTGGCAAAATTCAAAGGCTGTCTCACGTCTCAGAGCAAGAGATCCTTTGCAAGACCATGTGCGCTGGAACCAGCAGAGATCGTCCTGCAATATACTCTTCTCCATCATCAGCACTGTCACTGAGGTTCACATGAAGCTCTTCCAATGAAGGGCCTAGTCTCACGCCCTCCTACACCAACCGAAGCATGCACTCCATGCACTGAACTGGTCGAGGGCCTTCTACAACTGCCGCCAGCCTGAATGCAGCTGGATGCCCACCGAGGCACAGGTCCTGCAGATAACAGTGCTCCGCCATGTTACACATGCCGCAGGTAGAACTTCACTCTGACATCGATGCATCGCCTAAGGGCAGGTGCCACCCAATTGGACACTCAAAACACAACCAACAGGAATCCAGTGATTGGTGGGTCGGAATTCGTGCCATGTGTAAAGACAAGAACATGCATTGGTGCAAGCACAAATCTGTACCAAGGCATACGAGGCAGAAGATGCATTGCACAGAAGACGGCATTTAAAGCTTTGCGCCGTCTTCTAGCACCGCACCGCCACCAACTTTTATCTTAGGGGAGGGCCCGCAACGTGAGCACCGCGAAGATGCTAGACGCAGACCGCAAGCTGGCGCAGCATCGCAACGCTCGAAGCCGGTATTCCACCACTGCTTTTGGTAAGCCGTGCTTTCTTAGCTGTGTCAATTTAAAGAATCAAGCTTCAGATGTTGAGCTAACTACATCCGCGTGGCAACGGTCAAGTGGCACTTCCTTGAGCTTAGACCCTTCAGTTTCTTTAGTGGGCTCTTCGATTCGATTGCGGGCTGAGTCCCGCTGAAGGCATGCAGTCGTTGCGCGAGCTGTTTGGGAGGAAGAGTGAGGCCACTGTTGGCAAGCGAGCCGCCTCGTTGCTTAAGTATGTGAAATATTTGCAAGAGCACCGGCCCTTCTTGAACCCTTTTCCATTCACGACTGTCAAGTCTGATGAATACGTGAGGCACTTGAAATCCTGCCATGCCAAGTCTGGTGCAGTGGATGCTTTTACTAAGGCGGTTAGGTTTGGCATTCACGTGGTTGGGATTAGTTGTGATGGCGACCCGAACAAGATTTTTAGCCCTTGGTCTGTGGGCCTTAGAGGGCTCATGCAGTCAAAGAAGCCTGAGCGCGTCGCCGCGAAGGTTCTCTCTGTTGAGCAGGTTTCGTACCTTGAAGGATTGCTTGATGATTCAGAGCTGGACGTGAAGGACAAGTACGCGTGCGGAGCCTTCCTCTTTTGCATTTACAGCCGCAGTCGCATAAGTGATGTCAAGTGCGCGCATTCCTTTGCGATTGACACTATGGTTTCAGGTTCTGGGGTCCAAGGGTTCATCGAGTGCGGGACTAGGTCACTAGGTCCCACAAGACCGCCAGACAGGCTGCAGTGCAGGGTGTATCCATGCCGCTCGTTGCGCCAGTGAATGGTGTGACTGAGAGTGCGTGGGGGCCTCGCTTTGTGGCTGTTGCACAAGCCGCAGGGTTGCCATTGACCAATGAGCGACGAGGGCCGCTCCTTCCAGCACCTCGTGATGCAGGCGACTGGGGAGAGCGAGCTGTTACTTCCGACGAGGCGGGAAATTGGCTTCGAGCTCTGCTCAGTCGAGGACACAAGTGTTCTGATGGGGTGACTGGTCATTCACTTATGTCTACGACTCTTGATTGGTGTGGGAAGTATGGATTGCAAGAATCGGAGCAGACCTTGCTTGGCCATCATGCCCTGAAAGGGGCAACTATGTATGCTTACATGCGGGATAAGTTGGCTGCGCCTTTGAGGTCCTACGAAGGCATGCTGGGCTCGATCCGGAAAGGCCTCTTTTTACCTGATGCCACGAGGTCGGGCTTGTTCCGAGCTGAGGCTAATGATTCAGGGCCCGCGGAGCCAGGGAAGGCCGCCGCTGCAAGCCAAGATCATTGGAGTTTGGTTCGGCCCGGCACGTCAAGCCCTTTGACTGATGGGGATTCAGGGCCAGCGAGGACCGACGCTCCTCCCCGTGAGGAGTCCGATTCGGAAGGCAAGTATTACCAAGCGGCTGCACTTACACCTGAGGCGGCTGCCGAGGAGTTTTTGTCGTCACTGCCAGGGGATTTTGAAGAGGCGCTTAATGATTTTACGGGTCACCCGAGCGAGGTAGCTCCGGACTCGTCTTCATCGTCGTCCAGCGACTCGAGCTCGTCAGGAAGTGAGGACGGGCCCGATTGGAGCGACGCTTTCCAAGGTAGCTTGGGAGCTGTTGTTCAGAAGGCCCCAATTGAGGGGCCTGATTTTGATTTCTGGCGGCACGACAGGACTTTAACTATTCATTCGATTGCTGCCGGGTCTACAGGTGAGACGTTCACCTGTGGGCGCAAGAAGACGCTTGATTATTCCAAGGTTGCGCAAAGTGCTTTCTTGGAAACCAGGTTGTGCTCCAACTGCCGCAAGAGCAAGCCAGTTAGAGATGTGGGCGCTTTGAACGCAATTTTGAACAAGAATCTCAAGCGCTGAATTTTTGAATCGCCGGAAGTGCGGCCCGGGGTCAGTCCACGAAGTGTGGTTACCGGGAGGTCCGGCAGACCCTGCGATGACGGTTGCGAGGTGCAACCCGCGGCGCAGCTCAATCGGGCAGCCGCAAGAGCATTCCACGGGGTGCGGAGCCGGGAGGTACCGGGTTGCTCATTCTCTGCCTATAGTGATGTCACTGGCGCTCAGGCAGGAGCTGTGCGACCACAAAGGGAATGTTCCTTGCAGTTTGTGCTGCTTCCGGCTGCTCAGCAAAGTTGCCTAACTGCACCAAGCTCGAAACACTCACGCACAACTCTATCTCAGGAATTTGAACATCAGCCAGCAGCGACACCGAAGCTGAACATGTCTGGCAGAAGTTGACTTCGACTCTTGCACATCGCACAGAGACGATTGAGCGATTGTCTTTTCCAATACTTTTTCCTTGATAGTATTAACAGCCATGGCAAGTGCTCCTGTGGCCACAGCCTTCACTGAGTCGAAGGCTGCCTTTACTAAGCGAGCGCTGGAGGTTGGCCTGTCCCAGGACGAGGTCGACCACCTGATCGGCCAGCATGTGGATACTTTGTCGAAGTTGGCTTTCGTCTTAGTTCCCGCAGGACGGGTGCCAGAGGAGGATGCTGTGGTTGCCCTTTTGCCTGCAGGTGCTACCCAAGGAGCCGTTGCAGGCCTCAAGCGTCTGCTCTTCGAAGCACACACGTTGGTAGTGTCAGCGTTGAAGCAGCGAGTCGAAAAGACGGACGATGTTGTCCCTGCCTCTCTGGACAGTGCTGAGAGGGATGATCGCCTTGCTAGCCAAAAGGCGTGGCTCGGGGGCCTCACCTTTCAAGGTGAGGAAGAAGTGGCTCATGGAGCTTATGATCTTGTCTTTGCCATGGCCCAAAAGAATGAGCTTGTGTGGCTCGCGCCCGAGAAGTTTGGTACTCGAAGGGCTGAAATTGGGGCTAAGAAGGCGGGCAAAGAGCTAGTGAAGCTAGTGATTGACGGCAGCGGAGTTGCCATCAAAGAAAAGCCGTCAGTGAACAATTGCATCATTCACTCTGAGCTTGATTTGGTGTCTGCTCTTCGCCGTAGGGCCCTTGCTTTCGACTTAGTGGGGATCCTTAGCTACGACGTGGCGAACCGTTACCATCAAGCCTTGATTCAGCGTTTGCAAGAAGCTCCTCCGCCGGGGTATTCTAAAGTGTCCACAGCTCAGGTGCTCCGTGCGGACCGGGCTGCGTTCCTCAAAATCGCTGAGAACATCACGTCTCTGCGTCGCAGTGGGACAGGTGTGTTGCCTCTGGATTCGCAGCTGCCAACAATTTTGCTTGATCCGAGTGTTACTTATCACCTTCTCCCCTTGCCAGCCGGCTCGTCTTTTTCTGGGCAGGTCAAGGATGATGACAAGCCAGACCGGCCTCCGAAGCGTCCTCATGACCCGCCTCGTCGCCCTCCAAAGAAGGGTGCCAAGCGTACCAACTTCTCTGTGCCTAAAGAGTTGATTGGCAAAGCCCACCAAACACCGAAAGGGCACCGCTTGTGTTGGGGGTTTAATTTGCCGTGTGGGTGCAAAGACGCGAAGCCAGGAGGCAAATGCGCGAAGGGGTTACATCTGTGTGCGGAACCAGGCGGCTTGAAACCGCATAGTTTGCAGCACCATGTGCGCGAAGGAGGCGCTTGAGTTGCAGCGCCTCCCGCTTCTTGTCAGGTCTATGCTGCCGGCGACCGGTACTCACAGGCGGATGCGGTTGCTTCTAGCAGCCTCGGCCGCCCCTTAGGCGAGGTTGTGGCAGTTGAGGTTTTCTGTGGGAGCGGGAGGCTGACTGCTTCCCTCAAGCGGGAAGGGTTTGACGCATTTGGCGTTGACCACAGTGTTCTTAAAACTGCATCGTGCTCCGTTCTTCAGCTTGATCTTACGCAAGAGGATGCGGCTTCCCATCTGTGGAGCATCATCAAGGATCCGGCTGTTCAATTCGTTCATTTTGCGCCTCCGTGTGGAACTGCCAGTCGTGCCAGGGACATACAGTTTAAAGGGGCCCCGCCAGTTCTCCGTACTACGTTGCAGCCGCATGGCGTGGACGGTCTTGAAGGCCTCGATGCCACTCGTGTTGCAAAAGCCAATTCTCTGTACCAGCTGACTCTTGAGGTCAGCCAGTTTTGTCTTCAATCTGGTAAGTTTTTCTCTTGTGAGAACCCGTCGCGAAGCTACCTGTGGCTTCTTCCTGCCTGGAAAAGTTTCCTGGCCCGGCATGATGTTTTCCAAACCAATTTCCATCACTGCGAATATGGTGGTCTGCGTCGCAAGGCGACCCTACTTGTTCATAACGTCCCCTCCTTCCGAGGGCTTCAAAGGCATTGCAGCGGGAATCATGTTCATTTGGGGTGGGGTAGGGTTGGGCCTTCATGGGCCACCGCTGAGGAATCAGCCTATCCTTGGGGCCTCTGCAAGTCTATGGCCAGTTTCCTTAAAGATCACTTCCTGTCCCTTGGGTTTTCTGCGCCAGCCTCAGACCTTTCTGGTCCTTTCAATCAGGTGCAAGCCTCCCGTGCAATTACAGGAGTGCAATCTCGCAAGCGCGTGCCTCCGCTGCTCAGTGAGTTTGCGTCAGTGCATACTGTCACCGTCCCGACTCAGGTTGCCGATTCTTTTCTGAGGCCGGGTAACAAGCTGCCGTCTGATTGGCGGCCTGGATCAGCTGCTAGTTGTCGGCCGCCCCTTGCTGTTTTCCCAGCCGGCAGCCGTGTCCTGCGTGCACATGTGTTGCCCATGGGGTGGAGTGAGTGCGCTCAGGACACTGATTTCCCCGTGCAGCCAACTCCCTCCCCTTTCGGTTTAGTTCCTGAATCCAATGATGGCGCTCAGGCTGCAGGCTCTTCCGTGTCGCCGCCAAGTACTCATTTTGGGTTAGGTTTTGCCCGTGGCCAAAAGCGTCCTTGGACTGATGGGGGATCCACTGTGCAACTTTGATGCGTCTACAAGTGGCCAAAAGCTTTCCTGGACTGAGGGGGTCTCTGGCTCCTTAGATCCTGCAGACCCTAGTGTTCGGGATGCAATGAAGTCTGGCAGTGCCGAACAGGTTGCAGCTTTGATGAACCAGAGCCAGCGCATTAGCCGCAAGGACTTGTGCGTGCTGCTTGATTTGCTTCCTTCAGAGCCTCTTCGATGGGAGGGCAACTCCGGGGCTAAGTCCTTCCAAGTTGGGAGTTTTGTGCATGGGCCCATGACCGGTGTGCGTTCAATGACGAAGCAGTTCCCTGAAACTACCAAGGCCGTGTGCTCGTACGTCAGGTCTTTATTCCCTGGTTTCGAGTTTGGTACAGTTGGCCTTTTTCGTGACCTGTCAGCTTTGCCACATCGAGACTCTAACAACGAGGCGGGCACCGAGAATGCCTTAGCGGCCCTTTCATCCTTCAAGGAGGGTTCCCTGTGGATGGAGGATCCAGCCGGAGATGTGGAACACGAGTTCAAAGGCCGCCAAGTCAAAGGTGTATGTATTCCAGTCACTGCAGATGGTTTCAGGTTCGATGGTAAGAGGCTCCATGCCACGATGCCTTGGGTGGGTCGGCGAGACGTGATCGTCGCATATATGCCTCGAGGTGCCCGGGCCTTGGAATCTGAGCATGCCTCTTTCTTGACAAAGCTTGGGTTCCTGCTCGACCGCAAGAAGCAGCCCCCACCGACGGGGGGCGCCGGCATGACTAAGGCAGTCATTGGCGTCTATCGGACGCCAGAACAGTTTGTCGCTGATGACGTTAAAGTTGGTCACCCGACCCAGCTCTCGTCGCTGCTCCCCTCCGAGATTCGCGGAGCTGTTCGCAAAATCCACCGTGTTGGAGAAGCTAATGTGGCTAAGGAGCGCACCGCTACACTGAGGCGGTGGGTTGGCTTGGCGGCCGACCTTGAGGCTGCTGAAGCTGAGTTCAAGAAGGACATGCCCAAGTTTCGCAAAGATGTTCTTGCATCAAAGCGCTTGCTGCTTTTCCGCACTCTACTGCGGGAGGTGGGGCATGAGGATGATGAACTTGTTGCTGACATTGCTAAAGGGTTTGACTTGACGGGCAAGCTTCCCAGATCCAACGTGTTTGTGCGTCGCTTCCGACCAGCTGAACAAACCGAAGGACAGCTACGGGCAGGAGCGAAGAGGTTACGTGATGGGCTCCTTGCTACCATCAAAGCCTCTGAACATCCTGTGGTTGATGAGGGGGTGCTCAAGGCTACGCAAAAGGAGTTGGAGCGGGGGTTCGTCGAGGGACCCCTCCGTCCCGAAGACGTGCCTGCAAATGCGTCGCTGACTCATCGGTTCGGGGTGCTTCAAGGTGTTACTGATGAAGGGCCGAAGGTTCGACCTATAGATAATTACTTGTCTTCACAGGTCAATGCGGCTGTCACGCAGGTCGAACAGGTCAGTGTCCCCACCATTGACATTGTGGCCGGCATGCTTGGGTGTTGGCTACATGAGTGGTTCCTTGCTGGGCAGCCGGTCCACAGCAGCCCGTTGTGCAAAGCCTGGGACCTGCGTACGGCGTACAAGCAATTGCCTCTTTCTGATGCATCGTTTGAGCTTGACAGTTACTTCGTTGTTTTCAACGGCCGAACAAGTTCGAGTGAAATCTATCGGCAACGTGTCCTGCCATTTGGATCCACGGCTAGCGTCACGAGCTTCATCAGGGCTGCTTATGGCCTGTGGAGGTTGGGGACCCTTGGCCTCGACCTAGTGTGGAGCGAATACTTTGACGATTACCTCAGCGTGTGTGGTAAAGAGTTTGCGAGACATTGCGACTTCGTGATCGCGCTGTTCTTTCAGCTCTTGGGCTGGGAAGTGTCCAAGGACAAGGAGCTCAGCTACGACTCGATGTGCACTGTTTTGGGGGTCCGGATAAACTTGAAGGATGCCAAGCTTGGTTTGTGTTTTCTCGGGAATACTGACAAGCGGCGTGCTGAGGCCATTGCTCAGATTTCTGCTGCTTTGACTCCGAACCAACTTGATCCTGCCGAGAGCGAAAAGCTTCGTGGGCGATTGCAGTTCGCGAGCTGCCAGATTTTTGGCAGGCGACCAAAGGCAGCGCTCAAGTTACTTGCTCAGCATGGGAGACAGCGCAAGTGGGAGTTGGGTGCATCTACACGTCTTGCACTGCTACAGCTGAAGCATTTTCTTGAAGAAGGTCGGCCTCGGCCTGTGCGCGCCAGGCGGGATGACTACGTGCACATCTATGTCGATGCATCATTCGAGCCGAGTGGGCACTGCGGTTTGGGGGCTGTGGTTTTCTCTTCCTTAGGGGCCCCGCTTAGCCGGTTCGAATACAAGGTGGATGACAAGTGCATCACAGCGCTGCGTACTGAGGGCAGCCGGGCCAAAGAAACTGTCATCTTTGAGCTCGAAGCCTTGGTGCTTAGCATTTGCCTCGATGTTTTTCGACCTTTTGTGGATCGCAAAGGTGTGGTCATTTTCACTGACAATGAAGGTGTGTTTGGATGCTTCGTCAGAGGCCATAGCGACGACATCATGTGCACACCTCTGATTGATTTCTTTGCAAGGTGTGAAGAGAGTCTTGAGACGATTTGCTGGATCGACAGAGTGCCTTCTTCGTCGAACCCTGCGGACGATCCTTCAAGCCCCCGGCTCAAGCGTGATTTTTTGCTCGTCGTCGTAGGGGGTCAACAGCACCCCAGGTAGTCTAGGATTGCGCGTGCTGCGTAGCTGATGCCATGGAGGCGCACCAGGCCAGAACCCAGGACTCGACTCCATCTGGGAACCGAGGCCAAGAGGGGAGTGACAACACTGGGCGTGATCTTGTGGATCGCAGCCTGCTGCTTTCTGATACGGAGATCAGGGAACACACTCTTCAAATCGTGGAAGTCCAACATGCCATCCAGAGAAGTGCCTTCGCCACTGCTTCAAATGAGCTGTGCGATGCCAAGCTCAGACAGTTTGCCAAACAAAGCACCGACCGCATCAGTGCCTTTACCCAGGTCTTCGTCAGTGGATGCAGCTCAGGTCAACAGAGGAGCAATATCCCAGCCCCACAGTCAGGCACTGATCGCTCAGCTGCACTGCCACCCAAGGTCCGCCGAGCTTTTGAGGGTAAGGTTCCTGCCAGCACTCATCGCCTGGCCCTGGCAAACGCAGCGGCAGCACAACGGGCATTCAATTGCAGATTCGGCCCAGCCTCCAGTGATGTCACCGATTTGGGGGCGATGGACTAAGGTGGAGGTCAGACACTCATCAACTCAACAAGCATCAAGCTCGACAGCTGTTCAAGCCCATTCAGGTCTGTACAGCAACACGGCTCAGAGTCACCTCGGGGCGGGGCGAGTGGGCTCCACTCCCGGTGCGATACTAAGGAGCATGCTAACAGTCAGGTCGGACGGCCCAACTACACAGTGGTTTACATGCCAGGCTGAATCTGCAGGGCGAGTGGCCTCCGCTCCCACAAGGCGCAGGCATCACCTCAAGCATTGTCATGAACAGCACTGGTGGCACTCAGGCCTCTTTGTGCGGTCGATACCTTTGACCACACTAGTCTGCACTCAGCCCCCTTGCCGTTCTGCAGGTGCGCACACGCAACTCACTAAGGTCCCACATCGTCCACATCGAGCTTCGGATACCCTTACAGCCAGTACTACCCCCGGACATGGTACCGCCGTAAGCGGGAAGCCCAACACTATTTGGCAGGTGGACGGGCGAG